AGCCCCTGCTCTGGGAGCAAAGGCAGGAGGGTCCCCGGGTCAAGCCCAGTCTAGGCAACTGAGTAAGACCTTGCCTCAGAATAAATTAGCAAGGGGCTGGGGATGCAGCTCATTGCAAAGCCTTGGGGTCAGTCCCCAGTACAAAAAAAGCGGGGGTGGATTTCAAGTACATAGCACAACTCTGATGGAATGGAAAGAACTCGAATTTTAGCTAGTAACTTAATTTTAGTACTAATATAATTTAAATGGTTTCTCTACTCATAAAATCGTCTAAAATACTGTTTTAATTATTGGAATGAATAGTTTTCTGGCGATTTTTTGTTTTGTTTTTTGAGACAGTGTCTCACTGTGTAGTTCAGACTGGCCTTGAATTCACTTTGTAGCTCAAGCTGGCGTCAAACTTGCAGCCATCCCCCTGCCTCGGCCTCCCGAATGCTAGGATTACAGGCGTGCCCTACCACGGCTGTGGAAGGGAATAGCTCTAACTACAACCTACCCTTGGTAAATACAATTACATAAATCATCTCAAAATTTTACCAATGGGCAGTTCTAGTTCTTAAAAATGGACCTGTAGGTCTGGGGGTTTAGCGCAGAGGCATTAATCACCTGCCTGGCAAGCACAAGGTCATGAGTTGGATCCCAGTACAAAAAAAAAAAAAAAGAACCTGTAATCCCAGTACTGGAGGCTAAAGCACGAATTACTGCCAGAGCTCAGGGCCAGCTGGAAATACAAAGCTAAACCCTGTCTCAAATAAACAAAACAAACAAATAAAAATGGAGATCCATTAGCACTGTGGGCAACGTTTCTGCTGTGTACAGGAGTCCTGCCTGGAGGGCAGGCACTGCACATAGCTTGGTCCAGCCAACTGCTGGAGAAAGCAAGCACTACTGTGACTTACCCCCCAAACACTTCCTACAACAGCATAGCAATTTAAAAGACGCTATCAAAAACAGATTACACAAAGCTGTGTGTGCAGCGCTTGCCTGTAATCCCAGCACTCCAGAGGCTGAGACAGGAGGCTCACCAGGAGTTGCAGGCCAGCCTGGGCTACCCAGAGAGCTCAAGACCAGCCTGAATTACACATGGTGAGACCTTGTCTCGAAAAAATTAAAACAAGTAAAATCACATTTAAGGACAATAGCACCCTTTCTAAGGCTACACCAATTTGGCTGAGTAGGAATATAGTAAGCACACGTGAGCTGTGAGGCAGAACCCCAAGCGGCCCTGGAGCTGAAGCTCACAACCTGGTCATGAATGAAGCCTCGCTCTCTCTTCCCCGGCAGAACTGAGTCCCGTGTCACCAGTGTCCATGTGGGACAGTGAGCCGCTGGGACTTCACAACATCAAAGCCAAAAATGAAGCTGCCCCAACCCAGGAGCTGAGTCTTCCCTCTCTCCCCTCACTGGAGACCATCACTGGATTTGCGGTACTATCCATTCATTCACTGAACAAAACTCCTTCAGTGAGGACACCTACAGTTTTGTTTTTTGAGACTGGCCTGAAACTCACTATGGAACCCATGCTGGCCTCCAACTCCTGGTGACCTTCCTGCCTCAGCTTGCAGTGCTAGGATTACAGGCCAGATTCTACTGTCAACTTTTCTAGACATTTGCCAAATGCAGTATTTTACAATTTAGAAACTCCTCAGAAATCACAGTACACACTGTATATTCTCTGCACAGTGTCTCCCATTCACATCTCTCTACTACACATTTTCCCATGGAACCCACTTAGGACCTGACTCCAGCCTTGGGATACTGCGGCAGGACAATCTAAAGTTTGAGGCCAGCCTCAACTACACAGGGCAGTCGATCTCAAAGAAACAAAAAACACTCACTCACTAGGGCAGGCAGGGACACGTGTCAGTTCCTGCAGAGACCGCAGTCTAGTCAATCACACACTACCCACTCACGCCTCTAAGCTTTGGCTTGCACGTCTGTCAATCAATAAAGGATGCCCCTTACAAATGACCAGTCAGCCTCCTGCTCTGCGACTTGTAGAACATTAAAAAGGAAAAATACTCTGATGTTTTAAATTTCTGGTTATTTCTGTAAGTACCATTGTTAGCATTCACAGCTGGCTCTTCCCTGGTTTCTCTCTGCTCCTTTGTGGTACTCTCTCTTTTGACCTCAGACCTTGTCTATGCAAACAGAGCCTTTTGTCATTCTGGAGAAACAAAAGTGGCCAGTTACAAGCTGGCTATCACCACCTGTAGCAGACACTGGACAAACTCACCCAGCTAAGAAACTTCTATGTAAAACTTTGGCGGAGCGGCGAGTGTTGAACCCAGGACCTCTGCACTGAGTTAACCTCCCCGGCTCTTTTTTTGTTGTTCTGTTTTGTTTTCATTCAGGGTCTTGATAACTGGTTATGTGAGCTTGAGCTCAAACCTTCAATCCTTCGGCCTCAGCGACCCTGCACCACCATAACACCAGCTCGAATACGCCTGTTAACCTAAGGCTACTATATCAGGGTATAGAAGATGTTTCAATATTAGAATTTTTAAGACTTGTCCTCCTATTGAAATTTCAGTGAAATATGCCAGACTACAAGTTCAAATGGACCGATCATTTGACAAAATTAGATCAAGTAAACTTGTGATTCTGCTTCAGACTTTTCGAAGGTGTGGACTACAAAACTGAGTATTTTTGTATACCACAATCATGACTTTGTCCTTTTCTTTCTTCCTTTTCCCTTGACTTCTGAAAAAAATCCATTACAATTTATGCCATAAAAAGCGCATTTGCCCAAGAACCTGACTATTAGCAATATCCACTTTCAAAACCAGTATCTTCTCACCCAGATTACACAAAGCCTGAGCATTCTGATTTTCAAATCTTTCTGAACTTTAGATTTCAAACTTTCAAAAACACTTAAATGAGCAAATTCATTAACTTAAAACATTCAGAAAATCTTTGATAATCTCCCTTCTAATCCCTCCATCATGATGGGAACTTTTTTCAACCTATAATAAAGAAATTTAAAATAGTTGTTTCTGTTTGCAGGAAAGAAATATGTTCTATAAAAGTGAAACATCTTTGTAAAAACTGTGTGTTTTAGAATCAAAAAGCATTGACTGAGTTCTCCAAAAGAAATTCTACTTGCTTTTGCAGAAAATGGTAAAGAAGTCCAAACTCAAAGGAAGTTTGTCTAATAATCTTCATTATTAATTCCATAGGAACTAATATTTCAGATTCAATTTACAAATCCATAAAAAGTTACCTCTTTTAAAATTTCAAATCTCTAATAAAAATGTCAAACTGACTCAAATCATTTCAAATTTAAGTCAGATATAGCAAAGTTCTAGGCAGCTTTTAAAAATCTTGGGATAAACTTGCCTTCTGGAAATCATGCATTTTTCACTAACAGGACAAAGCTAAGAGTGGAAAATAAGGAATCAAATCTTACAGATACATGGACCACATAGAAAAATAAGCTAAGTTACCAGCCCCAAAAGCTGTCATACCTGAGGCAGAAAACAAAACAGGAAAGAAACAGTTATAATGACCCAAATATACAAAGGAAAAAGTACTATGTCGTGAACTATTAAGGCTAAAAATGAAAATTAAACCCTACTCATTTCTGGGAGGTTGATGGGAGTGTGAAATCTAGAAGCACATCACATCTCTAGCCTATAAAACCTCACTTTTAAGAATATACTGGTTCAGTTCATATTATCTGACTTACAGGTATTCTCAGATAATAGATTCCCGGATAGGGCCAACAGTAAACTAAGTTTGGTCTTCTGCCTTTTCTAAAACACTATTACAAATTTTCTACCATCTTGAAATTTTTCAAAGCTTTTTGAGAAACACACACAAATAATTTGGATTTAGTCGATTTTATTTACAGTTTTTTTTGTTTTTGTTTTTTTACATTTCAGAGCATTACACAATTACATTTCTCATTTTCTGACCTGCAAACAGATACCTTAAATGGAAATATTTTTTTAAAATTATCAAATTAGGTACATCCAAAATGCAACAATTACACATATGACAAGTAATTCACAAAGTGTAATTTACTAGGACGTATCCTAAGAATTTAGGAACAGCCAGTCAGGAGAAATCTGACCAAATTTAGTAACAGCTATTTACATATCCAAAGTCAAACCTATCTAAACTCCCAAACCAGAAGTTTGAAAGTTAATTACATCCCCACTGGACAAAAAAAGAGATGGTTCCAACCTGTTCTAACAGCTCTAACAGTGGGAAGCCCGGATACTACTACTCCCCAGGCTGTCACCAGAATAAACAGCAAGGAGCTCAGTTTGTCACAGCCGGCATCAAACTTTTACACCGTTATACGCACAGAAAGACTAAGTGTTCATTAACTTAAAAAACAAGTAGTCATTAAATATTCTCTTCTCCGCCCCGCTCACCATCTAATACTAAAATCTCCAATACGCAACCTGTGTCACACAGTGACAGACGGTAGTGTGTGGGGGGACAGTAACAGGTACGGAAATAGTCCCTGCAAAAATTCATTTTCAGTTGAGGCTATGGCTTCTGTGCCTTGGGATGGTTTCAGATTTGAAAATCAGAAAATACTGTGAAAATCTCACTTCCTTAAGGCAAATTTCAGTGCCTGCCTGTTCAGAAGGGTCAAGCTTCTCAGTCTAGAAATGGCTCTCAGGTAAGGAAGTATAAAAAGCCAGCCACCGGAGTGCGAGGCTGCCCTCGGTCTGGCCAAGCTACGCCTCCTGCCCAGCCTGGAAGGCCCCGGTGCCTTCCACTGGGTCGCGCCTACCTCGCTGTCCTGCTCAGGTCTCAAACTGTGTCAGCAGCGCCCGCACTTCGGGGGTCAGCTGCTTGGCCGCCTTGGCGGCCTCGGTGATGGCCTTGCGATACAGGCCCTTTCTCTTCTTATTAAAGCGCGACTGGAAATTTTCTAAAAAAGGGGAGAGTTGCGACAGGGCAAGGAAAGAAGTGGTTGGGGACCCAAACCAAGAAATGCGGGCCTCCTGCCGGACCAGAAGCCCGCTATCTTTCCGGCTCACCGTGATAGTGAGAATGCGGGCGGGCCACCAAGGGAAGCCATAGATCTTGGCCCAAACAATGTCCCCTACACATATGGTCCTGCCATCTGGTGTGACGCATTTAGAGACGTTTTTGGAAAAGATTTTCATTTTCAAGGAATGATTGAGCCTTTTCTCTTCCTTCGAAGAGGAGGAGGTGGAGGAGGCGGAAGGTGCGTGCACCCTGCCTGGAGGAAAGTCAAGGCTTTCGGAAGAGCTACACTCGGAGTTGGAGGATCGCAAACCCTCGGAGCTATCGGCGCTGCACAGCGAAGCGCTGGGCGAGTCGCACTCCTTCGGGGTTAGGGTCATGAACACGGACACGGCGCCTCCGCCGCCTCCGGAGCCCGGCGTCCGCAGCGCATCCTGCCCACCGGGCGCATGCACTCCACTGGCCGCCTGACCCTCACTGCCGGCCTCTTCGGGGCCTTCGGAGGGGCTCGCACTTTCGGAAGAAGGGGCCTCACCTGCTGAGCGGGTGGAGGTGCAGCGCGCCGGGGGCTTGGGCGCCACCTTGCCGCTGCGCGCCCTCTCCAGTCCCGCCTTCAGGGAAGAGTCGTTCTCCTCGTTGCGGTACCGCTGCGGTTTTAAGCGGACGCGGGGCGGGAGGGAACCTGAGCTGGGGCTCTGATACCGCCGCGTGAAGTGCACCTTGGCGTGTGCGCTCCTGGAGGTGGAGGTCTCGCTCTGCTTCTTCTGCGCCTTCTCTTTGGCGATCTTCAGGACCTCCCGCGCCTTCGCGTGGTCCATGTTCTTGCTCTGCAGCACCTTCTTGGCCCCGAGCTGCGCCTTGGCCGCGCTCGCCTGGGCGGACACCCTGACCACGCGGCCTCGGCCGTGCGCCATCCCGGGCACCTTGACCACGGCGCTCCTGCGCTGGCTCTCAGTTTGGTTTTTCCCGTCCACCTTATGGTCGGTTTTCAGTCTTTTGTTCACAGCAGCCACACTCTCATTTCTCCGCTTTCTGTCCTCGTATTTCGAAGAGTCACTCGCACCGCCGCCCTTGCGGATCTCCTTCTTCTCGGAGACCACGCTGTTCTTACACTTGTCGCACAGGACCTGCCGCGGCCGCAGCCTGATGGCGCTCATGATGGAAGTGGGCTCCTCGCGGTACATTTTCCGCTTGGGGCGCTTGATTTTGCGGGGAGGGGGCTGAGGTATCGACTGGTTGTAAGTGTCCCTGATAAACAAAGGCGGGGGGTAAGGGGCTCCAGCGTGGAAGAGGGGCGGCGGCTTGGAGGTCCACAGGCTTCCCGCCGGGCTGCAGGGCTCGCCGGGCCCAGCCCCGCGCTTGCCCTCCGTCCCCTCCTGGAATGTGTGACTCTGCAGCTGCGTGGCTTCCGGTCTGTCCTTGTACTCCCTTTTGGGAAATACTGTCACGGGGATCCCATGAGGCCCGAACCTTGAAGAGAAAGAAAAAAGACGCTAGTAAATTCTTATCTGTAATTCAGAGTCTTAAACCTAAGTAACACTTCATTCACGTTACTCATATGGCCTTGCTGAAAACTTCTGCATTAAAATAAGACAAAACAAAAACACAAAGGTCTACTGAGTACCAGCCCCTACTTCTTCTGCTTCTATGACCTCTATTTCTTTTGGTCTTACTATTAACCCAAAACAGCAATACTACAAATGGCAGGCTTAAGCAATGTGGGAATGGAGCTTTCCAGGCTTGAATCAAAAGGATGGCCCTAACACGACATTTATGCCACAGGATGCTGCAACTTTGTATTACCAAAAGCTTCAATGCAAATCCCACTTTAACTACCCCAAAATACGAAATCAGGAAAATCCCACCTCAATCACCTTTGCTACTGGGGATCGAACTCACAACACCTCACACTTGCCAGGCCATTTGCTTGTGCCACTGAGCTAAATCCCTGGCCCCTCAGTCACACTGGTTAATTGCTAAAGTCAAATAAAGTTCTTCCCCTAGTCTTTCCCTAAACTCTTAAGTCTCCCACTTAACCCCTAAAAAAGCACGAAATACCAAAACCTCACTCAAATGACCTCCAAAGCAGACCAGTATAAAACTGGTTTTCAACTCTCATTTGTTTGTTCCCTATCTAGGGAGGGAGTACTGAAGGTCTTTGTACTGAGCCACTTCCCCAGCCCTTTGATTAGTTTTTATTTATTTTTAAATTTTGAGACAAGATCTCACTAAGTCGTCAAACTGCCCAATCTAGGCTCTAACTTGCCTTCATCCTGCCTCTGCCTCAGACAGTGCTGGGATTATAAAAGTGTACCACCTGGGGCTGGAGATTTAGCTCAGCGGCATAAGCGCCTGCCTTGCAAGCAGGCAGTCAAGAGTTCGATCCCTGGTACCAATAAAAAGGAAAAAGACCAAAAAAAAGTGTACCACCTTACCCAGAACCTCAAACTTTTTCTGTTTTTCTTTGAGACTGGCCTTGAACTTGCAGTGATCCTCCCGCCTCGGCCTCCCAAGTGCTGGGATTATAGGCATGCACTACACCTCACTATAAAAAGGTATCTTAAAGCATTAAATGTGTAAGTGTGAGGCGCAGTGTGGCGGTGAGTGAACACCTACAATCCCAGCATTCAGGAGAGTACAAGTTCAAGGCCAACCTGGGCTACAAATGAGTTCAAGGCTAGTCTGAACTATATATATACATCCAAACCCTGTCTCAAAAGGAAAAAAAAAAAAACATTTTTTTCATGAGTGTGGAAACATGTGTCAGAGTGGGAGGGAGAGCCAGACATAGTTTTGCAGGTCTCTAATCCTAGCACTCAGGAGCCAGGCAAAGGTAAGAGGATCACAACAAGTTCAAGGCTTGGGTTACACAGCAAAACCTTGTCTCACTCACACACACAAAAAACTTATGGAGTGAGAATATGGAGAATCTACTTGCTGTTCAATCTTGCTGTGAACTTAAAACTGGTATAAAGTATTACTATGCATATTAAACAAAAACCCCCAAAAGAATTATGTTCATATTGTAAGCCAACAAAACACATGTAAATACTTAAATCTCCTTATATTATGATACTAGGGGGCTTTTTCCCCCTATTTGGGCCATTCCTCTTAATGTTAGTCAGACCAATTAAGCTGACTTTAAAACTCTCTCATAGGTTCAGACCTGCTTGTACAGCAGCCCAGAATGTAAATCTTTATACAGTTCTCAATTTTTAATAAATCAGTTCAATAACTACATCTCACAGACCTAGAAATAAATAGTTTAATCTGCCTGTGCAAAACATCAAGAACCTGACCCTTACACTAAACTTGCAAGGCTCAATTGCCATCACATAAAAACAAAAGTACTTCACCACATGAAGTCAGCCTACGTCAGTGTTACCTTTAGGCACCATTTGATTCTTCCTCTCACTTCCCTGCTTTGGTATTTGATTTTTGTTTGTTTGTTTGTTTTGTTTTGTTTTGTTTTGGTCTTTTTTCCTTTTTATTGGTACCGGGGATCGAACTCACGACTGCCTGCTTGCAAGGCAGGCGCTTACACTGCTGAGCTAAACCCCCAGCCCGCTTTTTTTTTTTTTTTGTAATGTCTCACTGTGCAGTTCAGGCTGGCCTTGATCCTCAGGAGGATCATTGCAAGTTCGAGACCAGCCTGGGCTACAAAGTGCCAGGACCTGGCACATGCCAGGCAGACACTGTGCCACTGAACTACACTACATCTCCAGCTTCCCCTTTAGTGTGTTTTTGTTTTGTTTTCTTTGAGACAGGATCTCACTACACAGTTCAGACTGGCCTTGGGCTCACTTTGTAGCCCATCTGCCTGCCTCAGCCTCCAGAGTGCGGGATTACAATCATGCACCACCATGCCATGCCCGGCCTTCCCCTTTGTGTTTTGAGACAGGGTCTCCCTATGCAATCCAGCCTGCCTCCAACTCACAGTTCCTCCTGCCTCTGCCTTAAGTACTAGGATCACAGGCCTGCACCACCATGCCCGGTTTAGTGTTACTTGCTTCTAACTGTACCTATCTATGTACCGCAATGCTAAGACCACTGCTACAAGGTGCAAGGTGCTTAGAACTTAGGCTGACTTTAGGCAGCCAGGCAGGTAGGCAGAGCCCTCAAAGCGGACCCTGGCATTGATGAGCGTGTTTCTCTGGAAAAAGTGTATTTGGCACCCAGGTTCCCCAAAACGTCCTTGTGCTCTGAAGTTCAGAACACATTTGTCCAGCCAAGATCTGGGCATCAGGTATCTAAACTTGGGCAAGGTCAATTTACATTTACCAGGTATCCACGTAAAAACGCTTTCCTACCCAAAGTCACTGGAAGAGACTTAGCTCCACAAACCAACCATGGTTGTGGAGCTTACAGCAAATACTGACAAAACATAAAACCCTCTGGACTTAGGGCAGGATAAGCTGGGGGGAAAGGCAGGCCAGGGATTTAGCTCAGTGGCTCAAGTGCTGGCTTGGTAAGCATGAGGTCATGAGTTCAATCCCTGGTACCAAAAAAAAGGAAAAACACTCCCTTACTCAAACAGGCTTTGCAGAAAGCTGCTTCTCATCAGCATAGCAGCTAATAATAACTTGTTTCCTGACTCACTGCAAGGCACTGTGAGCGTTTGGCCTTTCCTGTGTGTGTACCTAAATAAATACAATTTTCTAATTCACAAGAGGCTATCAATTGCCCCTGTTATGCATTTACATCTTTCTATAACTAAATGAAATAATAAACAACATTCTTCCCCTTCCTAGGAATACTCAACTGCAATTTTCATTTTGTTTTTGTAGTGCTGGGCACCAAGTCCAGGGACTCACTAGGCAGCTACATCCCAGTTCTAATCCATAGTGCTCTTAGTGCTTGAAGTCAACTGTAGCTTCCCAACTGTACCCCTCAGATTTTATTTTCTCTCTCTATAAATGAGTAGCTACTTCCTATATAAAGGATTTAGAAAATTCTTGATAGGTCAACAAATATTAGTCATAGCCAGTTAAAATAGCTCGTGCCTGTAATTTTAGGAGGCTGAGGCAGGAGAATCACCACAAATATTCGAGGCCAGTCAGGGGTACAAATTTAGTTCAAGGCCAGCCTGAACTACACAGGAAGACCCTGTCTCAAAAAAAAAATCTCCATTTAAATATGATCCTGCTGGTTGTGGTGGCGCATGCCTGTAATCCCACCACTCTGAAGGCTGAGATAGGAGGATCATTGCAAGTTCGAGACCAGCCTGAGCTACAAAGTGAACTCAAGGCCAGCCTGAACTGCACAGTGAGACCCCGTCTCAAAAAGACAAAAAAAAAAAAAAAAAAAAAAAAAAACCCCAGCCAATTATAAGCCTGATCAAGTAAAGCTGTGGAATCTGACATACTTATCCTATGGAGTTTAGTGAGAACATTAATATTTCTCATCTGGATTGGTTTTCCCTTGCTGGTTTTCCTTATGAAAGTTAATTGCTTTTCTACAGCTCTTTTCTGCTTGTTGTGATACTGGAGATGGAATCAGGGCTTCGCACATGCTAGGTGCTCTTACCACTGAGCCAAACCCAAATGAAGTATTTTTTGCTTTGCATTTCTTGCTCTTGCTTTGCAGTGTTGGGGATCAAACCCTGACATCACATACAGAAGCACTACACTACAGAGTGGATTTCACGGCTTAGAAAGAAGGCACTTACTTGTGTGATAATGAATAGAAGCTGAAAAGAAAAAGGATGCCATATCGGTAAACGTGAACAGTGAGGAACTGGCAAACATAAAATATTTTTATCAAAGATGCTCCAAGGACCAGAAAAATAAATCCCTTTAGGAGGCCCAGGGGTCCAGGGGTGGTGCACACCCATGACTCTCGCTGCTCTATGCCGTGAGCCATGAGGAGCAGAGACGGTGGCCTGGTGGGCAGAAGTCCAACTCAGCAGAAGGGAAGCCCTGGGAAGCAGCTGAGTGGCACACAGGAGGCCCTGCTGTAGTCCCAGCACTATAAAAGGGGGAGAGAAGGATGGCATGTCCTCGAGAGGTCTCAGCATCACACTGTCACCCTTCAGACAACACGCACACCTGGGCGGGGTTATTAACCTGAGAAAATTCAGGGTCAGAGTGTGATAAAAATATAATCAGGGGGACTGGGGATTTAGCTCAGTGGCATAAGCGCCAGCCTTGCAAGCAGGCAGTCGTGAGTTCGATCCCTGGTACCAATAAAAAGGAAAAAGACAAAAAATATATATATATATATATAAAATCAGGGCACCTAACACCAGTGAAACTGAACTTAACTACAACAAGTATTTGACATGCATATATGTAAGACAAGATCCACATGTAAGATATAGTTATAACTACAGTTTTAAAAAATGGGGGAGGGGGGCTAGGGATTTAGCTCAGTGGCATAAGCGCCTGCCTTGCAAGCAGGCAGTTATGAGTTCGATCCCTGGTACCGATAAAAATGAAAAACACAAAAAAAAAGGGGGGGGAGAGGACAAATACAGCTCAGAGGCACAGAGCCTGCCTGGCAAACTGAAGGTCCTGAGCTTGATCTCTGGTACAAAAAATAAAAAGGAAAAAGAAAATGTGACATACAACAACCTATAAAACTTAAACCTTAGGGTTTCACTGTATAGCCCAGGTCGGCCTCCAACTTGCAGCAATTCTAATTCTCTTCCTCAGCTCTCTGGAGTGCCTGTGCCACCATGCCTAGAGGTATCCTCAGTAAGAGTCAAAAGTATGAACAAGATTAAGGTCCCTTTAAAATCCAAAATCCTGCTGGGTATGGTGGCACATGCCTGGAATCCCAGCACTTGGGAGGCTGAGGCAGAAGGATCACCAGTTCAAGGCCAGCCCAGGGTACATAAACAAACTCAAGGTCAGACAGAACTAATCAGTGAGACCTTATCTTCAAAGAAAAAGAAAAAAGCAATTTCTCTAGTCACTCGAGCACACATCAAAACAAAGGTTCCTAACTCCTTCCCTTATACTGTGACAGGGAAGCTATGATCTGCGTTTTCAGTAAGCACCTTTAGCTTTCCAAGGGTGAAGGCACTTCCCTCTTGGGTCAGTGCCCAAAGGGTGACTCACCAGAGGAAAGTTCTAATGGGTGAGTAGATAGGTAGTGACTAGTGTCTCCTAATTGTCCTTTTTTAAAAGAATCTCAGACACCTGAAGTGTTAAGTGTTTGCTTAGCATGTGCAAGGATCTGGGCTCACTCAATTCCTAGCATGGAGGGGAAACCCTCTGGGGCGTGGCTGGGAAGGCTGACTGTAATTATGCCCAGCTGAAGGGCAGCACTGCCCTAGCATGGAGGAGGCCCTGAGTTCAATCTCCAGGCTGCAAACACGAAGAAAGACTCCCTATAGGGCAGGAGTACAGGCAAAGCTGTGAGGGACCCCTGCGTGGTCTTTGCAACTTCCTATCCATCAGCAATTCTTCAAAATAAAGCCTTAAAAAATACCTGCCTGCGGAACAAGAGTGAGCGCCAGAATTCTGAGTGGACAAAAAACTGCAGGTAATAGTTACTGTGTCAGGGCAAGATACAGTGATGAAACTGCTGGGAGCCAGCACGGGGCCACATTCCTGAAATCCTACCGCTTGAGAGGCCAGACAGCAGGATCACAACTCTGAGGCCAACTGGAGACAGTGGCCTATCTCCAAAGAGAGAAAAACAAAGAAAAACACTACAACAAAAACAGGTGACAGTCAGGAGAACTGCAGGTCCAAGGTCACCCTGTCCTGAAATAAACTTAAAAGGGCTTGGCAACATCAAGGGGGGTAAAGCATTTGCCCAGCAAGCTCAAGGCCCTAGGTTCAATCCTCAGTGCTACAAAGAATGAACTATTATTTCCCAGTATTTGGGTTCTATTTAAGATGTGTGAGTTTTATTGATCATTCTAGTCTTAATCAAAAAACTTTTATTCGTCTCTAAAAACTTTACAGAACAGTGAGGCAGGGGGATCACTGTAGTTCAAGGCCAGCTTGGGCTACCTAAGGCAGCTCAAGGCTGGCCTGCACAACACAGTGAGATCCTGCCTCAAAAAAGTTGTTATAAAGTTACACTTCTTGCTCAAGATTTGCAGCTTTTCCACTCAATCCTACTCCTACACATGCATCAATTCTCAGAGTGAAGCTCTCAACCTTCGTACAAATTTCTTTCCACAGGACACTTCAAACGCACAGAAAGGTTTCCAGTGATTACCCACTTTAAGCCAGACACAGAAATTCTGACTTATTTTAAAATGTTTTTAAAAAATGCTGGAATTGTAATTGCTGTCACAGATTTCAGAGCAACCTCAATCAGCTGGTCTCTAACCTAGGATTAGACGCTTCTCCTTCCCGTTTACCAGTGCTGCAGTGCATCCCATCCTCCTGTTCTCCTCTCCCATTCTTTTAAGCCAAATTGCAAGGGCAGTAAGGGAATCTTTTACAAACCTTGTACATTACATTTAAAGAAATAAAAGGAAAAGTATTCCAGGCTGTAAGCAAACACCAACTCTAACCGTAAGTCCTGAGGAATTTAAATGCTCAGAAAAACACTTCACGAGGGCTAACAGAGACAGAAGCAGGGCACTGGCTGGCCTGAACCATCCTTCCCAACAAACAGGACCCTCTCCCAGCAAACAAAAGATCCACAGAAAACAAAAGACAACACTTTCCGGTAGCAGGAAAAAATTATAGGCAATTAACCACTTAGGAAAGGAACCAAGAGGCGGCAGGAAAGGGGAAGGAGATGGAAGATGGAAATTAACCATGTTAGGTACATGGACCAGCTCCCCCTAATTATGAACCACAAACTTGTACTAATGAAAATTAAGATTTCATTTCAAGCAGATGTTCTTAGAAACTACCTCTCCTTACAATTAAAAGCAATTTCAGTCACAGAGGGAAAACTGTGAAGCAAGCTCATTTGGTTCACATTTCCTCTATCCAGAATGGTGATTGTCGAAATTTAATATCGAGATAATTAATTCAGTATTTGGCTAATTACAATAAAAATGATATTTAAAATTAAAAATAATATTACTACAGAACTCAGAGACCCCATCTCCGGGTATGTTTCCAAAAGAACAGAGAGTGAGATCTCTAAGAAATATTTTCTTTTTTTGGGGTCTTTTTCGTTTTTTATCGGTACCGGGGATCAAACTCACGACTGCCTGCTTGCAAGGCAGGTGCTTATGCCGCTGAGCTAAATCCCCAGCCCCACTAAGAAATATTTTCACATCCACTGTGGCAGCAGCCAGGGTTCACAGGAACCGATGGGTTCGCAGCAACCCTGGGTCCACTGGCACTCAGTGTGGTGGCATGTGTCATGTGTACATGACACATGTACAGCTATGTGCATATAGACTGTGACACTACCTTCCAGCCTTATAGAAGAAAATCATGTCACACACTGCAAGACGGATTTTTTTCTGGCCATGTCTGGCTATGTAGTCCCGGCCGCCCTCGAACTCAGAGATCTCCTGCCTCAGCCTCCCAAATGCTGGGATTTATAGGGGTACATCACGGTATCTGGCAACATGGATCAGTCTGGAAGACATTTAGTACTATGAATGTGCTAAAAGCTGTCCTAAGCACAGCAGCCCCCAAACCCATGTCCCTTTCCATTGTTTCGGTGACCTGTGGAATCACTTTTATCGTAGCATATAGTTATAACTGTGAACTAAGATATGCCAGAATTTCATATGTATCAGAGAATACAGGAATACACAATCTCCCAGTTTCTATAGACTGGTACATCCTCAACATGCAGTTTCTCCACGTGGCACCAAGGATCATCTTATCACCACAAGATCCTATCTTTGGTCTCTCTGTGAAAGTATTCCTGGAATATGCAGACTTGAACTTATGCCCAGTAATTAATGTTTTAGTATTTTGTCTTTTTGTCCATGAACTGGGTATTTAAGGAGGATTACCTAACTTATCAAGATGATTTTGGAAATTATTTTAGGTAGATTTATTGTAAAATGGAATTAGTACTGAAGTGATGTTAAGAAGAGAATGACTTAGAGGGCCTGGAGCATGACTCAGTGAGTGAGCACACACCCAGCATAAGCCAACACCCTGCATTCAATCCCCAGCACCCAAACAGCTGAACAGCCAGGCGTGGTGACGCCTGCCTATGCAGCCCCAGCACTCCAGGAGGCTGAGGCAGCAAGATCCCAGGTTTAAGCAAGACTCTGGCATAAAACAACTTATGATTTTAAATATGTAATAAATACAATATCAGCTTGACTACTTCCCAAGTATATGTAATGATGGTAACTATGAAAATGTAACTAATGACGGGCGTGGTGGCAAATGCCTATGATCCCAGCGTCCAGGAAGCTGAAGCAGGAGGATCACTGTGACTTAGAGACCACCCCGAACTGCATAGTGAGACCCTGTCTCACAAGGACAAAAAAAAGAAAATGTAATTTATTAACCCAGCAATATTAATATTAGGCATATTTACCAAATAAATTTCAAACTGTGTGAACTTGTAAATGTCACTCAAGTGACCTTTGGGCCACTTCCTTAAAAAAGATAAACTTTATTATAGGTATATTCAGGAGAAACCCAAAATCTAAATGAGGTTTGATTTTAGGAGTCCCTTAGAGAATCTCAGAACATACTGATCATGGATAAGCAGGTGTCACTACAGTAGATCACAGAATTAAAAGTACAATGGTGATTACCAGGGCCTGAGGGGGGAAGAAAACTGGGAGTTGGC